TCATTAATTTTTATAGGATAATATATTAGGAAATTTAAAAACAATAATTCTATCAAATTTATTCAATATAAGAATCAACTGGTTGAAAGGATTCCTGCTCGAGCAATGCTAAGGTCAGTCAGTGCATAAATAAATGAGTGCCTGAGTGACACTACAGGGTAAACTGTTAAGTGGTTAGATTATCGTGAATATAATTTTTTATGTCCTAGTTTTTTTCTCTTCTTTCATGTTCTAATTTTTTATGCTCATCTTTAGGATTCTCATAATGGTCTTGAGTATCTCCAAAAACAGGTGTACAAAAAACATTTTCAATATCTCAGAGTAAAAACAAAATTCTGCAAATTTTAATCACTGTCTTTTGCCTGAATAGTGTATTTCTTTTGCGTTTTCTGAGTTTAGTGTTTGTTCTTATTTTTAGTTTGCTAGTCATGCTGAGAATGAAAATACCCCACTGCCTATTTTCACTTGCTAAGAAACAAAGAAAAGAAAAGCAAGGCAAAGAAAAGAGAAGCCTTAAAACCCGGTATCAGTATACAATTAAATAAGGAAAAGGCAAAGCACCCAGGGTGAGGTAATACATGTGAGCAGGATTACTTGCCTCTGGCTCCTCCCTGAAAGGTGACACCACTAAGGAAATCCCTCTCCCCCCAGCAGCGTTTCTCAAAGAATGATTCTAAATCCACTAACACTGCCCAGCTTCAATTTCAGGCAAGGGTAGAGACCTTGGGGAGAACAGTGTTCTCTCCTGGAGAAGGGTGTACTAGCTCTGGGACAGGATTCTGGTCAAAATCTGCCTTAGCAAGCTCTCCAGGAGACATGTATGTCCAACAAAGTTTAGGCAGTCGTGCAGGGCTGGGAATATAGCTCAGCGGCACAAGTGCCTGCCTGACAAGCCCAAGGTCCTGAGTTTGATTCCCAATACTCCCCCAGACCCTCGCCCCCAGTAAAAGAACTGGTACATGTAACTGACCTTCAAGTTGAAAGGGGATACCCTTGTACCAGACATGAAAAACCTGAAAAAGTGCCCTTGTTTCCTGAAGAACACAGGTTTGCCTTGTGGACTATCAATACCAACAAGACTCTGACCTCAGCCAAACAAACGCCTAACAGCTGGGGGAAAGAAGTGGCTCCCAGGCTTCTGCCCCCATTCCCAGGTCCCCCAGGGTGAGAACAGAGGCCTCTATTGCTATTTCTCAGCCACCAGGTGGGGATTACAGTGGATTATTCATTTAATACAGTATGAATTATAATAATAAGGGGCCATGTAAGTGCTCATCCTTTTGAAAAGTGAGATATCCCCAGTAGCTAATGTGTCAGGCTCAGATATAGAAACTCCTGAGGAAAACAGGCACTGCAGGGCAAAGGCTGATCTGACAGCCCTGCCAGGAATCTGGCACTAACGTGATGACATCTCTGTCTCAGGTAGCTCAAACATGCAGACGGTCTCTCAACATATCCCCAACAGCCTCTTTCTTCTCAGATATGGGCCTTAACAGTGGATAATCAAAGATCTCTTGCCTGCTCTCTCCAGTAAGAGCAGAGTAATCAGGAAAATCAACCTGATACATCTGGTCAGGAGTTAGCTGTCTCACACAGCTAGGATGAACAAAGAGAGTTAGACTGTCCTCAAAAGCTCCTATTGATCTGTGAGGCAGCAGAACACCCCAAGGGTCAGACATGGACCAGGGAGAGACAGAGCACTGGGACCAATTTGGACATGAAGCCTAATTCCAGGCAGAAAAGATGAGCTGCTTTGACACTGTCTGCGCCCTTGACCTGAGGGCTGGTCACAGTGAGGACATGTTGACCCAAAGGCCATGGTACCCATGACAAGAGGTTGCCCTGTCCAGAATTTTAAGTAACAGTTACTTAAAGTCAAAAGAAAGGAAGGGGTACAGTCACACCTAAGGGAAGGCCTCTCAGAGAGAAATGGTGTGCCCCCACACATAAGCGTGCCTGTAATGGAATGACAAAGCCTGGGACTGTCAGGAAGCCAGGCCCCCTACGCTCCTTGGGAGGAGAGCTTTGAAAAGTCTGATCTGACATGGGGTGACATGAGCAGTCCAGGAAGTGGATTCAGACCTGCCTCTTCATGTCACCTATGACTCCTATGCCCAGACATTTTGTGACCAGAGCCTGAAAGCCCAGTCCATAGTGGAGGGCTCACATGGACACAAATTAAAATAGGGCTTAAGAGTCCCTAATTCAGCTTCTTCTGTTTATGAAGTTTTGCTCCAAAGGTTATTTTCTGTTAAATACCAATTTTACAGACTTTTTACAAGTTGCCATGCTCAATTTTTAGCAAACTGTAATGAAACAATTTCTGTTCGCCAACAGCAGTGCAGGTTAACTAAATAGTGAAACTCCAAGCAGCCCCTGACTTGGCTGTGGTTCATCCATATTCAGGCCAAGATCTGGGGAGGAATAGCCTTTGGCGTGCTGAATTTGCAAACCTAAATAGAAAGTGACAAGAGCAGCCTCCTGTTTGCTGTGAGTAACGAGTTAGCCCCAGCACCTGCCACTCCACCAGCATGCTAGGGACCCATGAGGGTGGCCACCCAGAGCTGGCTTTGCAGGGAGGTCCGGGCACACTCCTGGGAGAACCACCGAGAATCCTTCTCTACCAACTCCTCCTCTGGGCACAAGGAATGTCCACGTTTTCTGGCTCCCCAGGCTCCACCTGAGCACAGGGCATACCTTTTCCCTCCATGCCATGCATCTGGAAACAAACTGCAAGGCTTAGAGTAGAAAGAGAGATGGGCACAACTGGCAACAAATCTGTCCCTCCTGAGCGGGCAGAGGCTGTCGGGCCTCCTTCTAGCTTCTGAATCAATGGGAAAGACTTGCCAAAGGTAAGGCTGAAGAGGCTAGCTAGCTAAGAGCTGCTCTGACCCAGGAACACCCTTCTGAAGGGAATGGGAAGAGAGAAGACAGCCAGGTGGAAAAGCCTTGAGAGCCAGCCAAGTGAAGACCCAAATGCCAGAGGCTGAGAGCAGGTGTAGATGACAGGTGGTGGGGGAAGTTTGCAACAGCACCTTGGCAGCCAGCCTGACCCCCAGAGAAGCAAGCCAGGAAAGAGGGCTGGAAGCCTCAGGAGTGGGTAACAGGTCAGGGGTGCTGACTGGATTCTGCCACTTGCCAGCCCAACTTTTGTGGCCCTGGACAGTGCATGGAGAAAGCACATCCACCCGAGGTATGCGCAGAAGGTCCCGGGTGGCAACGAGTCATGTGGCCCTTCTACTTCCCAGTCTTAGACATGGGTCAGCCCTCTCTAGGGAGTCTGCTGTTTCTGGCCGACTTCCTCCTCCAAGGATAGTTCCTCATTCCCTCAAGCAAAGCTCATCACTGTTCCACAACTCCGACCCTGGCTTTCCACCTCTACCAGCTCCTCAGCCACCACTACCTGCGCAGGCCCTATGTGCAGTACAGGCTGCTGAAGGGAACCTCTCTCACAGGTCAGGAAGAAAGTGAGGGGCATAGAGGGAGGCGGCTCAGGTCAGCTCCTGGCCAACACTTTTATCTCATCCCACCAAAGCAGCAGTTCTCAATGCTGGCTGCACACTGGGGTCCCGAGGAAAGCTGGTGAAACAACACTTGTGCTGGACCCCATCTCAGAAGTATAGGTCCAGTTTATGGGGACTAGGACCTCATATAACCCCACTGGGGCGACTATAAACTCCAGGATGGCAGGGCCTCATCTACATCCCCGCAACTGGCACTATGCTCAGCCCATGTTAGAGGTGGATGTCTGGAAGGATGAGTTTTTCTGGTAATATCCCAAGGGCTGATGTGCTGGAAGTGTCGTTCTCCGTGTGGGGATAGTGGCAGGTGGGAAGAGGCGGGGCCTAGAGGGAAGTCATGGGCTGTATCTTCCTCAAAGGGGCTTTAGGTAGGGCCAGCCATGGTAGTGAAGGTCTATAATCCCAGGGACTTGGAAACTGAGGGAAGACGAATACAAAGTTGAAGTCAACCTGAGCAATTTAGTGAGACTGTCTTAAAAAATAAAATGCTGGGGTGTAGCTCAGTGGTAGGGTGCCATGTGGTACATGTATGGCTCTGGGCTCAATCCTCACTGCAACACCAATCAATTAATCAAAACTAAAAGGAAGGAGTTAAGGTACTAAGCCCCAAGTTAATCCTCTTGAGAGCTAGTTGTTGTGAACACCTGAGCCTGAACCATTCTCTGGCTTTCTATCTGGTCATGTGACTTAGGGTCCCATACATTCTCCACCACTGTGGTGCCATCTGTCACAAACCCCACACTAGAGTCAAGACGATGCTGGCACCATGCCCTCAAATCTGCAGAACAGTGAGCTGGATAAATGTCACTTCTTAGGAAGCTACTCAGGCCTGGGCATTTCACTAAGTGACAAGAGTGTATCTAACACTTCCATCGTCCAGGTGCAAAGCACAGGAGAGAGCCAGGCCCTGGTGCAGTATTTTCTCTCCTCCAGGCTCTTTTCTACATGGGTACAGTCTTCTCCAAACATCACCTTCAACCTGTTGCCCTTAGCTATTCAAATTTCCAAGGCTTGTTCCAAGTTGAGAGATACACATTAAAGAACCCCTAAACCTGTCCCAGCTATCGTTTCATGATCTCTCCCACTCCTCACAACCCTGATCTGGCCAACAGCTGTCCTTTTTGTCTCTTGCATGAGGTTTGTACACTGTTGCCACCTTGCCATCAAACCAACACCCTCTGTCCACCAGTTGTCTGGATCCTGCCCTTCCATGAGAACCCAAGTCCTCTGCTCTGCTCTTCTCCCCCCACCCAGCAATCCTTTCCAGCTCTAACACTCACCAAGAACTTTACCTTGCTCCATTCTTGGCTTCTCATTGTCATTTTAATGTGCACAAGTCCTGACTGCTCAATACATTAAGGTCATGTGGGGGAAGCACCCACCAGCACACCCTTTGTTTCCCTCCTGGTGATGACACTGTATTCTCAGTGAGTGCTCTGGGCCATTCAAGACCTGACTATGTGGGGGCTACAGTCTTACCTGTAATACCTGGACTGCAAGTAGGTGGAACACACAGCCTTGGACACATGACTGGCTGAGCCGAAGTCAATGACCTTTACTCTGTACGGTTGTCTGGATGGATCCACCAGCATGATGTTCTCTGGTTTAAGGTCTGCATGGATAAGACCCAAGCTTTTGAGTTTCATCAGGGCTGTGGCTACCTGCTGGAGGACCGGGCGAATGTACTTGAGGGGCAAGGGGCTGAACTTGTTCTGCTTGAGAAAGTCATAGAGGTTCTGCTCCAACATCTCAAAGACCAAGCACGTGTGGTTCTTGTGCTGGAAGCACTCATAGGCCCGCACAAAGTTGTAGTCATCAGCACTCTCTGTGCTCAGCCGGGCCAGGATGCTCACTTCTATCTGACCCTGCCGGGCATATGAAGGATGATTCTTCAGGATCTTGATGGCCACGATTTCATTGGTGCCCCGTTTCCAGCACTTGACCACTTGCCCAAACGTTCCTCGGCCCAAGAATTCCAAAACCTCGTAGGTGTTGGTCATAGAGCACAGCACTTCATGCTGTACCAGCTGATAATCACCTTCACTGTTGGAGCCGCTGTTTTTGGAAGTGGCAGTGGATGTAGTGGCAGTGGCTACAGTGGCCCCGCTGGCATTATTCTGAATCATGGGTGGGTGCTCTTCAATGATCTGTACACTGCTTGTGTTCTCGATCTCTTCACTCTTACGCTTGAGTCCACATTTTTGGTAGGTATCAAGGAGGCTCACAGTGCTGCGACGCATTAGGTTATGTGGCCCGCCAAGGACTTGCCCGGTGACGGAAGTGCTACTTGCTGATGTTACGACTATGTGCCCGGTGCTTCCTGGGAAGATGATGGTCTGTTCGTAAGGTAGGCTTGGGTTTGGGATTGGCAAAGAGGTGCTGACGGTTGTGGTGGCTGGCTGCGAAGGTGGGATGTTCTTGCTCTGGCTGTACACTTTGCTGTGGGAGCCGTACCCAGTCATGTCCCAGTTGGAACTCGGCTCGACTTTCAGTTTCTTCACACTACAGAAGGCACTTGACTGAAGGGTGTGAGGGGAGAAAACTTGCACATGTGAGGCCATACCTAGAAGAAAAAGAAAAGGAAGATAAGTATTTGAAGCAGTCTGACATGAATAACCTCAGCAGATTCATTTGGATTCTGATCAATGGCTCAAGCAATACTTTCTTCCCACTTGAAAACATGTTTGTAAAATGCTCTACACCACCAGATGCACATTCTGGTCTCCTGGTTTATGGAATCAAGTGGTTCTGTCATTTCCAACCACCACCAAGAGGAGGCCACGAGAGGCAGGGACAATCACAACTCAGATACTAAATTAGGATAGGACTTTGTTCAGCATGTATTTCTTATGAATATTATTTGCGGCAAAAATAGATCCTTCTACTCTCAGACTGTATCAAGTGGCCCAGCTTGCTGTCATACGCACAGGTCCTCCACGTGGTTGGCTTAGCCTTGCCAACAGACCCTGAGGGCCAGGTTCCCTGAAATATGAAAACCTCTTTCCAGTCATGGGGCCCCTCATGATCTGCCAGATTCTGGATGAGATGTTATTACTACCTGGTGTCTTAGTTGTCTTAAATGGATTCTGCAGGGCTGAGTGGAGTAACAGTTCGTCTGTTGTCTTCAACTAATGCCTAAAACCTTTATGAGCCTTTTTTGGTCAAGTAGGTAGCATGATTCATGGATTTTATTCACTCAGCTTTTTTTTTTAATTTATTTATTTACTTATTTATTTATGTGTGTGTGTGTGTGTGTGGCCAGCTCAGCCCACCAGGGGGCGGGGCTGGCTGGCATGTGGTGCTGGGGGATTGACCCGTGGTCCCTGTGTTTTGCTAAGCTTCTTCTAAGTAAGTGCTTTAGACCACTGAGCCATCTCGCCAGCCCTCACTCAGCTTTTTTTCTGCTAAATTTACATTATCAATAACCTTCACTAGAAAGTACTAGAATTTTCTACCAAGGTGACCAGCATTCAAGCAACCTTAGAAATCTTTCAGACCATTACTCTACAATACTTGTATGGTTCATAACTATGATGGTGCTGAAATCAAACACACAAAAAAAACATACAAAATATCTTAAGAAAAAGCAATGAGCCTGGGAGATGACTCAGTAGAATAAGCACTTGCCTGGCAAGCCCAAGGGCCTGAGTTCAATCCCCAGTTCCACAAAACCAACAAACAAACAACAACAAAAAAAAAGAAAAAGCAATGAATTGGAATGTTAATTCCTTAAGGGTAAAAGCAGAAACAAATACTGCCCATTTTCTAAGCTGCAGTCAATAAACACAGTTTACTTCTCATAAACACTTCAGTGTTTGCAATTCTGTGAGCCCCCAGCAATACCAGGAATGGTTAATCTGACCCTTCACCCAACCCTGGCCCACCCCTTCTCAGTAGGTGATCCACCAACCTCTTTTCTCTGCTTCTTCATTTCAAAATATTCCTGTGTCTATGTCTATCCTCTTCTCTCTAGTCCTTCCCTCCAACTCCAGAGGAAGATGTGTTTTCTAACTCTGAAATCCCTGATGGTTGTGACTCTTCTTCTCCCACTTTCTCTGGAAGTTTCTCCCTCCCTCCTTCCTACCCTATCTCCCTCCTCCCTCCCTTCCTCTCTCTGCTTTCAACTCTGGTCTGTTAACTGGATCCAAGTCCTTGCTGAGTATGGAACAAAGGTTGGCCAAAGAAACCACAGATGTAATCTTCTGCCTTCATGTGTATGTGCACAAGAGACTCACATGGAAGGCGAGGAGCACCAGGCATATTCCTCCCTCTGAACTCTTTCCTTCTTACCTGCAAGCCAGAGATGTTTGCTCCCCTTTCTTCACAGCTCACTTCATTCATTCATTCATTCATTCATTCATTCATTCATTCATTCATTCATTCATTCTTGGTATTAGCGATCAAACTAGGACCTTGCACTCGCCAGGCAGGTATTTATGCCTGCTGAGCTATCTCCCTGGCACTACACAGCGCACTTCTTAATCCATCTCTGGCTCCCCCTATTCATATACATATGCCTATGCCTGAGTTCTTAAAGGTAAATGACTTCCTAATTGCCTAATGCAGGGCCCTTTTGTCAGCCTTAGTCTCCTTAACTTCTCAGCAACATCTGATTCTGCTGACCACAACTTCCTTCTTGGCGCTCTTATCTAGCTGGTGTGAATCTGTAACCTCGCCCTCCTCCCAGTGTCCGGTTGCACACTCTCCGCTTGGGTAGCTCCTCTTCCTCTTCTTTCAAGACCTGGCATTTCCAGTGTCCTGACTCTGTTCTCAAGTCACTCATTTAAGCAGTTTAAGCTGTCATCTCTATGCAGGCAACTCCTACATGTTTATCACGCCCTGTGATATATTTTTGCTTCATATCTTCTCCAATAAACCAAATCTCATCCTCCATCCTTACATCTGAATTTCTATTCATATAATATTCCTCTAGTTATTTCTTTTCCAATTGGATTTACATTGGATTATTCTTTACCTTCACAGGTATACACAGAAGGTGCAAAGTCTCAATTTTTCCTTTCTTCAAAGTGTCTCTTGCATTCTTTATTTCTTTTGCTACCACTTTTGTAGACTAAAATGTTTATCACTTTTCAACCACAGCAGTGATGCAAATACAAACATCTGTTCTACCTGAGCACTCTGCCCTTTAACGTGCCTATACTTGGCCACCAGACTTACCCTCTTAAGACATCTTTGAACATTACAATCCTCTACCTAGGAACTTTCCATGACTCTTTAGTATCCAAGAGATAAAGCTGATGACTCAACAATTTTACCTTGTTTCTCCCACTACCTCGCTGGCTCCAACTTCCACCATTAACCTCACTGAACTCCATCTCACTTATTGAGGTGGGTCTCTCACACTTTTTTTTATTTATTTATTTACTTATTTATTTATTTTGGTTCCTCGAATGCCTTCAGGGCACTTTTGGCCAGTGGGAGAGTTGTGAGGTTCGAACTCCAGCAACCTGAGGCTGACAGCTTTGCGGAAGCAGCCACTTAAAGGACTGAGCTACAGCCAGGCCCCCCAAAGATTAGTAAACGTTTTATTTATTTATTTATTTATTTATTTATTTTTGCAGAACCGGAGATTGAACTCAGGCCCTTGCACTTGCCAGAGAAGCGCTTATTCCACTGAGCCATCTCCCCGGCCCCTCTCTCACACTTTTTAAAAAAATTTTTTTATTTATGTGTGTGTGTGTGTGTGTGTGTGTGTGTGGCCAGCTCAGCCCACCAGGGAGCAGGGCTGGCTGGCATGTGGTGCTGGGGATTGAACCGCGGTCCCTGTGCTTTGCTAAGCTTGTTCTAAGTAGGTGCTTTAGACCACATGAGCCATCTCACCAACCCTCTCACACTTCTGAGATGGTTCCTTGAACTGCCAGCATCACACTCCGACAGCACTCTCCCACCTGGCAGACCACCAGTGCTTCTCCTACTCACCAGAAGGCCAGTGCGCACAGACCTCTCCTCTACCAGGCCACTCCAGCCCAAAGAGATTTTTCCCAACTCTGCTCCTCTGGCATTTAACAATCCATTTGACCACAAATTGTGCTTCTGCCTTATCAAATCTCTTCCTTTGTTGGATTCTTTATCATCTGCACTGTTTACTTATAGGTTTAAGCCAAGTTTTCATAACCAGACTATATTCTGGTGACAAGAGCTGAAGTTGATTCTCCACACTTCTTTGTGCTTCCCCAGTATTAGGTCAAGTCATGGCACATGGTGGGCACACAGAAGATGCAATATAGCTGGCCAGGCCTCCAGGAGGGCTTAGCTTGCTGACCATAAATCTGATTTATTTCCTTCCTTCCTTCCTTCCTTCCTTCCTTTCCTTCCTTCCTTCCTTCCTTCCTTCCTTCCTTCCTTCCTTCCTTCCTTCCTTCCTTCCCTGCAGTATTGAGGATCAAGCTCTGGACCTTGTGCTTGCTAGGAAGGCACTTATGCTGCTGAGCTATATCCCTAGGCCCACTTTTTTTTTTTTCTGTATGTGGTATAGAGACTCACTAAGCAGCTCAGACTCAGATGCATAGTGACCCTCCTGTTTTCAGCCTTCCCTAGCACAGGGATCATAGGCATGCACCACCATGCCCAGTCTCAGTGGCTGGCTCAGCACTCCTGGAGACAGGGCCAGTGCAGCCTATGGTGCTGGGAATTGAATCCTGTGCCCTGTGCTTGCCTAAGCAGGTGTTTAGTGTGCTAAGCTATCTTGCCGACTCTTTGTATAAATCGATCATCAGTCATATCAATGGGATCTGGTTAACTCTGGGTCTGGGATTTGTTGTTGTTTTGGGTTTTTTTTGTGGAACCAGGGATTGAATTCAGGCCCTTGCACTTGCCAGGGAAGCGCTTATTCCACTGAGCCATCTCCTCGGCCCCAACTATGGACATTAGAGAAGAATCTGCCACTACTTTTCTACCCAAATCAAGACTTTAAAAAACAAAGCAGAGGCTGGGTGTCATGGCACACACCTGTAATCCCAGCACTTGGAGACTGAGGCAGAAGGATCCTCAAGAATTAAAGGCTGGGTTATATAGTGAATTCAAGGCCAGCCTGAATAACATAGTGATACTGTCTCTTAAAAACCCCAAACAATCAAAATTAAAAGCCAAGGCAGAGGCTAGGTAGTCCTTTTGTGGACTTGGCAGTCATGTTCATCTTAGATTGGATGTGCCTGTCAGTGCCAGCATAACTCTCAACCTCTACTCTGAGCCCATCTTTACTCTAACCCAATCGACTGGCTAAATGCTTCCCTTCTGCTTGGAATCCTGGGCTCCAACCATGACCTGGGAACTACACCAACACATCTGTATACATCATTGTGCCTGCCAAGACTCTTCTAGCTTGTGTATATATCTATACTTCACCTGCTTCTTCCTATTGCTTTTTCTATTCAGTTTAACTTCCTACTAATTCTGTGATCACACTGAAAATGGTTATTCTCTGTCAGTATCAGTTAAATATTTAATTGTTCTAGATGTTGTACACACTATAAAAATGACCAACTCCTTGTTTTTTAGTCACTTATTCATGATAGACGTCAAGAAAAATAATTCATTGCTTGG